GCTCTTGGAGTTGCTCGAGGTATTGAATACTTGCATTGAGGTTGTGACATTCAAATTCTACATTTTGACATCAAGCCACACAACATACTTTTGGATGAGAATTTCATTCCAAAACTATCTGATTTTGGTCTTGCAAAATCATACCAGACGGATAACAGCATTGTTACTCTAACAGCAGCCAGGGGAACAATTGGTTATAAGAGACGGATAACAGCATTGTTACTCTAACAGCAGCCAGGGGAACAATTGGCTATGTAGCTCCAGAGTTGATCAACAGAAGCATTGGTCCAATATCTTATAAGGCAGATGTCTATAGCTTTGGAATGTTACTCATTGATATCGTAGGCTTGAAAACAAACTCGGCAGCCAGAGAGGATATGTCAAGCCAGTATTTCCCACATTGGATTTATGATCAACTCGACAAGGGAAAGGAGATTGAAGTACTAGACGAGACACATGATGACGTAAAGAAGCTGACTTTAGTTTCTTTGTGGTGCATACAAATGAATCCACTGGATCGTCCCTCAATGACTAGAGTAGTGGAAATGCTTGAAGGCGAATTACAAGCATTGCAAACGCCTCCCAGGCCCTCTGAATCGCGGGAACCATGTTCATTGGAATTCAATCTAATTAGTTCTTCAATAAACTCAACTGAGTCTGTGAAGTTGCTTGAGAGTTGTTCTGATTCTGCAAAAATAGATGTAATTGTTGCTTGACATCACATATTATGTACGTAATTCGTGTTGTTCTGAATAAAATATCAAGTTCATGCTAAATTTTATGACGTTTGTATGAATAAAATATCAAGTTCATGCTAAATTTTATGATGTTTGTTCAAAAAATAAAGTTTGTGACAGACATTTGAATTTGTCACAAACATTTAATTGATAAAATGAAAATGTGTGATGAAACAAGTAATGTGAAGTGATTAGTTCTAAGAGAATGATCCTCAATGGAGTTTTTACTTGTTTAATTATCATATATTAATAATCCATCACAAAATGGAACTTGTGATGAATTTTTCCAGTCACAAATTTTAACCAGTTTGGATGGTGTTACGTATTGTTTCATATTGTATTACTTTAATGAATATCGTCACTTTTGAATAGATTGTATTCTGCCAATTGAGGAGGAAGAGAGGCGAGCACAGAGTGAGAGAATTTTGCTATAAAATTTTAACTATAACTATGAATTATAATTTTTTTATACTATAGTTAATGTAAAGTAAATACATATCACAAGTT